CTCCCACACTCAAATCTCCAATCAATCCTTCTTCTACTTTCTCGATGGAGATGGATTCGCTTCCCAATGGCTCTGCCACGTCACCGGGCCCAAGCCCAGTCCCGACCGCCGCGGCCGCTCCGTCATCGAAGCTGAGCCACCTGTCGGAGTCCCTGAAGCTCGAGCACCAGTTCCTCAGAGTCCCCTTCGAGCACTACAAGAAGACGATCCGAGCCAACCACCGCGTTGTCGAGAGGGAGATGTCCGCCGTTATTAACGGCGTCTCCGAAGCCGCCGACCGCGACGACATGTCTTCTGACGACGCCGTTAATCATCTTAGTTCTCTTGTCTCCAGGTTGCAAGGGCTCAAACGAAAGGTATTGCATTTCTAAACCATACCTTAGCTTTTCTTGTTTCCCTGTTTGGTTGGTGAGGGAGTAGGAGGGCGGAAACAATTGGAATTCGATGAATTCGAGAATTTAGAATCCAGTTTTCTGTTGCTTTCCTCAGGTTTTTCTCGGAAACCAAACTGAGGTTAATTTGAAATATGCTAACTTGCTTAGCTTGGCAATGAGGGAGCTTGAGTACTGAACCATTGAAATTCCTCGATCTGAATTGACGTTTAGCTTATCCAGATTGGATATTTCTGTTTGTTCATTACTTTATATTTAATATCGAGTAATTGAATTTGGCAACTGATTGATATGTCTTCTTGTGGTTTAGTTGGAGGAAGGGAGTAGGACAGAGCACTTGCAGGCGCAGAGGTGCCGGGCTCGGCTTGACCATTTAGAATCGGCAGATGTGGAGAGTTTGTCTGATTGGAATAACACACGCTTGAATCGGATCCTAGTGGACTACATGTTGCGGATGTCTTATTATGACACTGCAGCAAAACTGGCGGAAAGCAGAAATATTCAGGTATTTTTTATTTCCTGTCCCAGATTAGGCGAAATTACATATTGCTCTGTCAACATTAATTATGAATTCATTGAAGGTTTGAATATCATGAATTATTGTAGTTTAAATGTGTTGGGATCAAAGAACTTGGAAAGGGTGACAATGTTATCATATTTCTGTTATCATCATGTTCATCATCCAGTAATGTGCACTACTTTAGACTTTGAAGAGGGCGATTCATCTTCACTTTTTCTAACCATGGACATAAATTATTTTATTGAATTCAATGAAGGAAGTATTCAGCTAAATTATAGCTTGGCCAAGAATGTTTTCTGAAAGAAAGAAAAAGAGTGAAATTATAGGTTGGCCCAATGGTTTAATAGTTCACAAAGTTTATTCAAGTGAAGAAAAGCAGCTTATTGATTTGATAATGGCTTCCTCTCCTCAGAATATCTGCCAAGGTTCACTGGCATGTTAGAATGCCTTCTCTCTTATTGCTTGAGCAGATTGCAGAATTCTCCCATATTTTCAGATTATAAATGCTGGGAACTTGATTAGTTTCTTATGTGTCAGGATCTTGTTGATATTGATGTATTCCAAGAAGCAAAAAAGGTTATAGAAGCTCTTCAGAATAAGGAGGTAGGTCCTGCCCTAGCCTGGTGTGCCGAGAACAAGTCAAGGTTGAAGAAATCCAAGGTATGTACTTGCAGGAATGGGAGGGGAGGGAAGCTTGCTATTAAATGGTGGGTTGGATGAGTTTGCTAATATCTGTAAAATCATCTGTTCTGTTGCTTGTTTTTGAAAAAAAGTAGCATAGGAATATTCTTTACATAAGCTTAAGATGATGATCGTTTCATCTTATTTGTTCTTGGACTACATACGAGGAGATGAAAGTAATAGGAAAATGACTTTTCTTTCATAGATTCTTAGTCATTTTGCTGCTATATGGATGTGAAAGATCCCCCATAGTGGTAACTGCATTGCTTCCAATTTCCAAATGTATGTTGATCCTGCTAAATTTCTGATAACTGCTTGTGAAGTTAAATGTGCAATGATTGGATAGTTAATTGCAATATTGGGTTTCTGGTGCAAGCAAACTAAGAGTCTCCCCATTCTGAATGATGAATGCTGTGTATTTAAGCTAGATGCAATGGCATACTTAATCTCGTAATGTCAATTTCTGATACAATGTTCTTGAAATTCATTTATTTGAGTTGGTACCTTGAAATGCTTCTTACCTCAAATTAGATAGCTGGGAAAATGTTCCTGTTGACTGTTATACCAATTGAATTGCAGTTATTACTGCACTGCATAGAAAAATTGGTATTAGCATGTCTAATGCTGATTGCTTTGATGGCAGAGTAAATTCGAGTTTCAGCTGCGACTTCAAGAGTTTATAGAGTTGGTTCGAGCTGAAAATAACTTGCGAGCTATCACATATGCTCAGAAATACCTTGCACCATGGGGAACTACTCATATGAAAGAATTGCAGCGGGTCTTTGTAACAGTAGCTTATAAGAGTACTACTGAATGTGCTACATACAAGGTGACTACTTTAATGCGTTGCCAGCATTATCAGTTTCTACTTATCTGAACTAAAGTTAACTGTGCTATTCAATTCTGTTGGACCAGGCATACAGACATTTAAGGGAAATAAAGTAAACAATAAACAAAAAAAGGCTTTTGAGACCATGGTCTCTCTGTTTTCCCCCATTCTTTTGTGGGAATCAACTGGACTAAATTGTTCACTAGAGTAGAAATATGCTGTATGGTACCCATGTTTAGTTGAACTTACCATATAGGAGAGATGTTTTGCTGACCACAAGCCACAATCCACAAGCCACAAGCCAGCACATGTCTGTCTGTATCGTCTTTTTGTGATGGTAATAAGTACCTTTTGGGATACGTTTCTCACACATTAATTTTTATGTGTCCGCTGGTTATCCAGCCTTCAGCATTCCTACAAGGAATCCTAAGATGTCACTTGAGTTCTTGTGTAACAATTGATATACAGGCCTAGGTTTTCAAGAATAGTTAACTCAATATTTCTGCCATCTCCTTGGGGGATGTATATTTTGAACTATACATTTTGGTGAGATTTTTTGCTTTAGTGGTTTTATTTCATCTTGGGAACTGTATATTACAGGTTAACTCTGGTATGTTATTTCAATTTTGCTTTGGTTGCTTATGCTTTCCAGGTGTTATTTGAGCCAAAGCAATGGGACTACCTGGTTGACCAATTCAAACAGGAATTTTGCAAGTTATATGGCATGACTCTTGAGCCTTTGCTGAATATTTATCTGCAAGCAGGCCTGTCTGCTCTGAAAACCCCGTATCCATTAACAGTAGTTATTTATCCGTTACGTTATGAAAATGTAGTATTATCTCCCATTTTTTGCTAACTTAGGGGTTGTAAGTTATAATTTTCAGTCATCATGTGGTCATAACGGTGGTTGACAAACCAATGCTGTATCTCCCTTGATTGGCATTTGGGTACTTCTCATTCACCTTTAGCACGTGAGTGCATGCATTATAGATGCTAATTGTATTCAGATATGTTGTTTAGCCTTGACCTGAATCAGATACTGTTACGACGATGATTGCACCAAGGAGGATCCACTATCACAGGAGGGTTTCCGGAAACTAGCCCAGCCATTACCTTATTCTAAGCAGCATCACTCGAAGCTTGTTTGCTACATAACTAAGGAACTAATGGACACAGAGAACCCACCACAAGTCTTGCCCAATGGCTATGTCTACAGCTCAAAGGTTTGTATGCATTTTACTAGTATTGGACGATCTTGGCTATTTAGTCTGGAATATTCTTTACTTATTTTATGTTTTGGCAGGCTCTTGAAGAAATGGCCAGGAAGAATGACGGAAAGATTACTTGTCCAAGGACAGGTTTGGTCTGCAATTACACAGATCTGGTGAAGGCATATATATCATAAATTAAATCTACATAAGCCTGTTCAATTATTCAAGTTTATTATCAATTCGTACTGGGCTTTGTAACTGTTAGAATGTCCTGTGCGTACTGTACATAAATCTCTTACTGCTGGATTTGGCACAAATTCCGGTGTAAGAACTTGCCCTGGGAAAATTATGTTCATTGCTCAACCTGGCATTACCATTGGGAACTTGAACATGTATATATGCAAAATTACATTTTACAGTTTATTATCAAGTTCTTGACCAAAAGCTATTCTACGTTGCTTTTATTGGATTTATTAGCTTTCTTCGACGTGTACAATATGCGAGTGTGGTATAGTATGGGGCTTAGGGTTCAGTTTCAAGTTTCAATGAAAGCAAGAATGATGCATTTGCTAATTTGATATAGCGGCAGTATATGAAAATGAGCCAAGTTGCTGTATATTTTGTTAGTATTATTTTGTAAGTTTGGGGGGGTACTCGTTGACCTATAAAATGCATGTCATTTCAAGGTCATGCAATCATGTTGAGATATTCAAACCGCGATTAGCGAGGGATTTTCCCCTAATCACACAACAAAATAATGGTCCGTAAACCAAATCCATATGTATTTAATTGGCATGTGTGAATGGAGCTAAAACCAATCTCCCAGAATGTGGTAAAATTGTTTTTAAAATCAGAGTCTAGAAGTTTGTTTGGATTGTCTGGAATCTGGATCGTCAAAACGCTATTAACAACTATGAAGTTTTAATTAAATAACAATTTGCATGTTACACCTGAGGTTTAGTATTATTATTTAGATTAATTTCATCAACCAGAAGATTAATCTTTGATTTCTTGGTCACCTAGCCACAATTATTGTTTACAATGAAGTTGCTCATGAATTAACTACGTTATGAACCAAATTTGCTTTTAGTTTGTGAGAAAGAAGTAAACTATTAAGAAAAAAAGACTTGGCACCTCAACCAATGTGAAGGTAAAAATTCCCATATTGGAAAGTTAAGAAACCTAGTAAGAGCTTATAAGGAGTTGGACTACTCTCATTGCCGATTGTTTATGTTCACATTCTCACAACCAAAAAAAAGATACGTAGACTTGATTTTTTTTTTTCTTGCCAAGCACAGTATGGAAAATGTTTTTTATTTTTAATTTACGACAACTAATACCGCGATTTATGAATTCAAACAAGTTAGCAGAATGAAATATTATTTTATTTTAACTTGATAAATGTGAACTAGTGCGTGATTATAAGTATTTATTTGAAGTCAATTCTATTAATTGTGGATTAATGCGGATCTACATATATCTACCATTGTTATTATAACTTGATTTCAGTTGTAGAAAATTTGAGATCTCCAATTTGGTTTCGAAAGGGATTTGCTTCATCATTTGCAAACTCCAGACTTCTAGCTAGCAAGATTCAGCTTCTGCAAAACAAACACAAAAAAAGAAAAAAGGAGTTTGAGTTCTGCATGGCGGCTACCGGTGAAGAGAACGTTGCAAGGTTAGTTTCCACAACTTAAAGTATATGCAACACTTTCATTTTTCCTTTCTTAAATAAATGTTCTATCAAACAATAGGACCTGCATATCATATACGTCTGTGTTGCAATTTAACGACTGCAAAATATTTAATAATATATATAGTTATAGTTATAGTTATTCTCCCATCCGGAAGTATGCAAATATTTCACATATTTATAAAGAAAGTTCTTACATTATCAAACTTTCTCTCTCTTACCCAGCAGTTTAGCGGATGGTCCGAATTCAAACACGATAACGGAAAATCCTGCCCCGCTTGAAGATTTACAAAAATCATGTCTAAAGTGGAATTTCATATTTATAACGTCATGTGTGTTTGCCGTTTTATTGGATCCATTGTTCCTCTACATTCCTATCCTCAACGACCATATCAAGTGTCTGAAGTTGGACAACAACTTAAAGATTACAGCTCTCATCTTACGATCGGTCACAGATCTATTCTATATAGCCAATATTATTTTTCAAGTTTGTAGATTTGAAAATTGTTCACCTTTGATCAAGCGATTTCTTCCCGAAAGTTGCTCCTCCAAGTTAATAGCATCACTCATCAAAAGCTTTCGTGAGTTATTACCTGAAGTAAGCAACGAAGTTCCAAAACCAAGTATAACTAAAGAGATATGGGAGTCGTCCATCATAGTTGACATTTTAGCTATTCTTCCTCTTCCACAGGTACGAACAAAAGCCTTCGCTTTGATATATTGCACCCCAATATATGAAATGTGATACAGGACAGGCAAATATCTAAATTAATTCAATATTTTGTCTCACGATATGTTAACAGTTGATATTAACATTGCAATGTGCCTGCCCAGGTAGTAATTCTCATTTTCTTTTCAAAAATGAGGGCCTCAAGATCTTTCAGGAAGCTCATGAACTTTCTTGTTATGGTGCAATATGTACCACGAGTTCTTCGCATCTACCTATCATGCAAAAAATCTAAAAAACCTTTCAAAGGACAGATTGCATTATGGGTTAAAGGTGTACTCAATTTTTTTTTGTACATCCTTGCTAGTCATGTAAGTTTCAATTTCATCATAATTTTAATTTTGAAAAGTTAATCTACTTTAAATTAATGTCGAACAAACATTGTTTTTTTATTTGATATGAGCGATAGTCTAATTATTCTAAATTAATCTAATTTAAGGGGATGAAGTTTCGAATTTGAAGAGGGTGTACTCAATGTCTTGGTCAACTGGCCTAACTCACATATGTTGGACTAGCATTATTTGATATCTTATTTCTTGATAAAAGTTTAGGTTCATAGTACTCAACCTCATGTGAATAAAAAAAACATGTATATACACACACACAAACATGGTGCAACCATGCAATATGACAATCATGACAACAACAACAATAGGAGGTGCATACTTCATATTGAATTATACTTGCAAATACAATGACGTTCCTTATAATTTAACTTCTGTGAGAACTAATCTTGGGAGGCAAATCCTTCTGTGAACTAATATCGGGAGGCAAATCCTCCAAAATTTGACGACATTAATCATTTAATAACATATGAAAATTTCTTTTTATGAGAACTTACTAGTGTTGTTGAAAATTTTCTTAAAAGTTCAATCTAACTATCTTGTTGGTTTCTTTAGGTACTTGGGGCTTTTTGGTACTTTTTTGCTATTCAACGAATGACAAGTTGCTGGCAACATGCATGTCGATATGAAAATGGATGCGACCCTACTTCTTTTGACTGTAATGATCATCATACGTTGAGAAATATTACGGTTCTAAATGATTTATGCTCTATTAATCCATCAAATACAGCTCTATTTGATTTTGGTATATATCTAAATGTCCTTCAGTCGGGTATATTGTGGTCAACAAACTATCCCCTGAAGTTTTTTAATAGTTTTAGTTGGGGCCTGCGGAATTTGAGGTTTGTATACATATGACACCCTTTGATCTTGCAGGATGAATTATAATTCCAAATGTAACTAAAAATACGATTATTTTTTTTTATAATGTGTTGTGATCCATTTCATTTTTTCAGTTCTCTTGCTTCAAATCTCCAGCCAAGTACCAATACATGGGAAATCCTGTTTGTGACTTTTATATCTGTAATCGGCTTGCTACTATTCGTATATCTCATTGGGAATTTGCAGGTTGGTGCGGTGAATCTTTATATAAAATTGCTTTATTTAAGCTTATTAAATCTCCTGATGCTTCTTTTTTACGCATCTTTGTATAAAATAAATAAATTAGAATTAATGAACTGAACCTTCTTGTTGTGAAATAGACCTATGTGCTGTTAGATACAGAAAGATTGGAGTCGCACAGACGCAAGATGAAAATTGAACAGAAGTTGACAGAAAAAGTAGGCCCAGATGTAGAAAAATGGTTATTTGAAAATGGCATCCCCCTGAGTACAAAGCCGAAGGTCATGTCAAAGGTACGACAAGAACTTGAAGAAAACTCCGATATTGATGTAAAAAAGGAAATCCTCTCTATTCTTCCCCAAAAACTTCAAAACTACATAGAAAGTTGCACGCCCTTGAGTAGGCTGAGGAAGGTACGTAGGCCTCATGCAAGTCTGGCCACATCATCACTTAACGGATTCTCAAACAATAATTCTAATGGCGGAGTCACATTGCAACAAAATGACAATTCCGAGGTATGTGATTGTTAAAATTGAAAGTGCGAGGATTAACATGCCTTAAGAGTACAACTGCATGGTACCAAACTAAAATTAACCATTCATTTTTTCACCACAAATATATGATTACTAGAAATGCTCTTTACGTTAACGATTGGAGGAGCTCTCATATATGTAACACAAACCCTTCCACAATGATTGGTTATGTACTTATTAGATTTTTAATTGCTGGTTCCATTTCTTAAATATTGTATCTAAACGTAGGTACCACTACTTCAAAACATGGACGAACAAGTTTTGAGAGAAATCTCTAAGCATCTTAAGCCCAAGAGGTATAAAAATGAAATCATTATTAGAGAGGGTGAACCACTTGAAATGATGCTTTTCATCGTCGACGGACGTGTAATCATTGAAAAGACAGATTGTTCTCGTAAGTTGGAGCGATGCGCAGGAGATTTTTATGGAGAGAAACTTCTAGTTTGGCCATCATGGACGTCCGGGGCAAGACCCATAGCAACCGAGTCTGTTTCAGCTAGTTATAAGGTTGAGGCCCTTGTTCTCTTGGCCAGCGACATGGCTAGTATAGGCTCTAAATTCAGGTCACATTTCAACAAGTTGGAAATGAGTCATCTAACGGATTCTGAGTGGGAGCTTTTGACTTGTGACAAGGTGGCTATGCTACAACAAGTAAGTTCCTATCTCAGAAACACATATCTATACATTTTTTTTGTACAAGTGATATGTATAGAGGGAGGGGGAAATCCAACCTAGAACCTCGTGAGTATGTTAACCACTTGAGCAACAAGCTGCTTGCGACATATCTATTATTACTTATTTGATTATATAATTTTCTCTTTAAGATTGTTAAATTAATGGATCTACCCTAGGTGCCAAAGCTTCGAGCTATGGATAAACAAGTATTGAAAGCAATGGCTGAGCATCTTCTATCGGTTTGCCATGGACGCGATTTCAATATCATTCAAGAGAACCGACCGCTTAATATGATGTTCTTCGTCACGAGGGGAGAGGTGATGATAAAAAATAATGAGAAGGGTCGTGCACCTTTTTTTGGAGAAGAACTTGTTGAGTGGGTACTGGATGAGTCTTTTCCTGAGATGCTAC